TAAAAAAAAAAAAATTAAAAAAACCAACTCTCTCTCTCTCTCTTTCTCTCTCTCTCGAGTTGGCTTTCGAATTAATCTCCGTTTCTCGAAACGATGGAAAAGAGATTCGTTGAAAATCGAATTTGGAAAAATTGGAATTGAAATCGGTGGGCAAATTGCGCGAAGAGGAAGGCGAAGCGCGGATTCTCTCGGAGTATCGAGCCGTGCCGAGTCGTGGACCCACCCACAAAACCCCCTCCAGTCGTCGGGACTGGAGGGTGAGTCCGCGATAAGAAGAAGCACGTGGACGACGCATCGAAAGCAGGCCGGGGGCGCAGCACGCCGCTCGCCAGCCGGTGGACGAGTGCCACCACCAACGGTAGACGAAGAACGGAACGAGTTCGGTGGAGCGATTTGTGTGTGCACGGCGACGGCGGCGGCTGCGACGCCGGCACACACGCTCGCGATTGCTTCTCTCTTCTCTTGCTCGGATGTAAGCGAACGGAGAGTGCGCGTATCCGCGCTTCTCTCCGTCTCCGTCTGTCCGTTGCTCTGCCTTCGTTCTAGCTCCGGTTCAGTCAGCGCGGCAGAAGACGACGGGATCGGAACGGTTCGGGTCGAAGCGAGACGAGGCGAAGACGCGAGGGAAAAGCGCGTGGGGAGAGAGAGCCGTGTCTGGTAGGGGAGAGGTGCGAGAGGCGAGCGGTGGAACGAGCGGCGGAGGCGGGGAGAACGCGACGCGTCGTTCCGCGCGACGGGGTGGGGCATCGTTTCCAGAACAGCTTGGTGGGGAGCGACGAGCCGCGGCTTCGTTGCCGTGCGACGAAGGAGGGGGCAGAGAGAAGTGGCACCGCTCCCCTCCTCTCTGTCTCTCTCTCACCCTCCGGAGGGGTTCAGTCATCTCGCGCCAGCCGAGCCACGCGCACTCGCCTGTTCTACGTTCTGGGCTCGGTGAAAGACTCTCTCTTTCAGGGCTTGGGAAAACTGGCTCGCGTCAGTCTCTCTCCCCGCGCGGATCACGCCCGATCTCTCGCGGTGGATCCGTCTCGTGGTGAATAACCCCGTGGTGCGGTGGAAACGGACAGCGGGGGGTTGGAACGACGACGACGACTACTACTACGAGTGCTTTCTCTTCTCTCCCTCGGGTCGAGTCGAGTGTGCGCGCCGCACAGGATCTCTTCTTCTTGGTCGGCCTATCAGCCTGCTGCCCCCGGTGGACAACGGTTAAACGCACGGGAACCAGACCGCCCCCTCCGTGGACGGAAGCCACGGAACACCCCCACTTCTTGGCCGACCTAAGCCTCCCCCACCCACCAGCCAACCGCGGAGCGGAGTGTTCCGCGGTGCAGAGAGTGGAAGGCACACCGGGTACCGAGTTTCACGGGTGGAGAACCCCGTGGATGCGTCGCGATCATCCCCCCGGAAGGATCGGGTGATAAGGTGGAGCATAATAAGTTTCGGGACGTTTCGATGGTGAAACGGGCTGGTATCGAGGTAAAACTCTCCCCTTGAACGTTTTCTGTTTTTTTTTTTCCTTCCTCTCTCCTTTTTCTTTTTTTTTTTTTTTTTTTCCTTCTCTGCGTCTTATCCGCGTCTCCCTCGTTTCGTCCGGTGGACGCGCACGCGCGCACAAACGGCAGACGGACGCACACGCACACACGCACACCCCACCTTCCACGGATCATTGCCACTACCAGCAGCACTTGGGAAACAAACCCTCTCCCCACCCCCTGAAGTGGAGGGAAGTGGAGAGAGCCGGACCAGCCAGAACAGAGGACAGTGGCATCATCGCGCGCCGCGAATTCTCCACTTCTTCTCTCGCTCGTGAATTCGTGTTGGTACCGGTTACTTCCGGTCCCACGGCGTCGTCCCAAGGGGATCGGATCGAGTCGAGTCGAGTCGAGTCGTCGTTCGTGTCGCGTTCTTCGATCGAATCGAGTGATACTCGACCCGCGGACGCGCCCGTTGATTGACAGTGCGACAGTTCGGGGAAACAAAGAGAAAGAGAAAGAGAGAGAGAGAGAGAGAGAAGGGCCAGTGATTTTTTTTGTATTTTCTCCAATACGTGGACGGTTACATATATATGTGTACATACATATATATATATATGTACATGAATGTATATATATGTGTATATATATATACATACATATATACACGATCGTGTGACAAGTTTTTTTTCGTGACCAGTGTGCTCGAAGGAGAGATTACTCGTCGTTCGGTCGAGAGAAGGTTGTTGTTGTTGTTATTGTTGTTGTTGTTGTTGTTGTTGTTGTTATTGTTATTGTTGGTGGATCGATCCATTTTCCATCGCGGTCTCGCCTCGCGGTGAACTGATCAATCCGGGAGTGAAGGGAGTGGCGGGGCGGGATGTTGCTGCCAGCCACGAAACTTTGAACCGAAACCGTCAACGTAGTTGACAGAAACTGTAACTGTAACTGTATCGCGGCGATGAGACGCGGCGACGACGACGACGACACGCGACAACCCGGTGGAGTTTCCGTGCTCGCTTCGTAACGAGAAGTGGCCGATCTTTCCAAAAGGAGGAGGACGTCGTGGAGGGGAAGAAGGAGAAGAATCCCGACGCCGGATTCTCGCAAGTTTTTTAACCAGTGGTGGACTCTGTGTCTTCGTCGTTTCGTACGGAATCCTCCTCCCCTCCCTCCCCCCCCTCCCACCCCCCCCGTTGGGGTAGTTGTTCGGCCCCCTCCCTCCCTCCCCCCAAAGAGAGGAGGACTGCTCTACTATGTTGGCCGGTGGAGAGGCAAGAAGCGGAGGAAACTCGTTGAAAGGGAGAAACACGGGAGAGGAGAAGTAATCGAGGTAAATACCAGAGAGATGCACGTATTTAGTATGCACGTATTCCTCCTAACCATCTTTCTCTTCGGTTCCTTGCGCGAAACGCGAAGTCGGTGGCGATGTCTTCTCGGTGGCTTCGAAATAGAGAGACGAGCGGCGTGTTTCGGGGGGGGAGGGAGGGGGGAGGGAGGGAAAGCAGTTAAAATCGCGAGGGCAAAGTTTATTTATAATTTATACGAGCTAGCGAACGTTGGTGGCGCGCGGCTCGGTCCTGCAACAAAGTATTCGAATTATGTCAGGGAAGTGATGGGTTATTGCAGGGGAGGCTGTAAAGCAGAGTTGGCAGCCACTTTAGCCTTTGGATCCCGCGTTGATGCCACGGTCTCGACGCCAACCCCAGAAGCCCGATTTAGCACCGACTTTGTTTCCATTGTTCTTTCGAAACGAGGGGGAGGAAAATCTCTCTCTCTCTCTCTCTCTCTCTGCTCTTGGCGCGCGCGCGCGAGAGAGAATTTTATCATCCTCTCCCTTTCTCGCTCTTGAAAGCGAAAATTGCCCCCGGAATCTCTCCGCTCCCGGAATAATTGCATATCCGTGAAAAAGTAGCGGCGGTCGTGTAGCTGTCGAACGGCTGTGTGAATTCCATCCTGTGGAAGGTAGGGATGGATGGACGGACGTAATTGGCAGCCGGGGAGGGGAGGAGGTCGAGGGGGAAAGGAGAGAGAGAGAGAGAGAGAGGGATATATCGCGTTCGGTTAGAGCGGAAAATTAGCGTTGCTCACGGTCTGGCCGGGTGGAAATAACCGAGGAACGCTGGCTGATTTCACGCGACGATGCTATCTTGGCGGGATTTAAGAAACGAGGGAAGGAAAGAAACGCGATATCGGGGATCCCCCTCGCGAGGAGAGGGGCGAGGAAGGAGGGGTTTTTATTCAGGGGTGAATTTTTATGGCGTTGCCCAGCGATCGAATCGGCCCGTGAGAGGGAGAGGGAGAGGGAGAGACTGTAATCGGAATCGCGTACCTCGCGATAAACCCCTCTCCTCCTCCCCCTCTGGCCCCGCTTCGTTTTCGCGGCAAACTTCCTTTTGTTGGCGCGTTCTCGACGGAAAGCCGCCGCGTCACATCTCGATGGAATATTAACCCTCCTCGTGTTCTCTCTTCTTTCCTCTTCTTTTTCTTCTTCTTCCGTTCGATGCCTGCGCTCGTGACGCGATGAAAATGAGGCTTGTAATTTTGGCTAGTCGTTTGGAACGGACGTGGGACAAGGACGAGGAATCTGTCCACGAGGAACAGGTGGTGTTTTCGTGTCGAAGCCGAGCGTTCGTTTCGAAATTTTCCCTTATACTTATCAGGTCGGATCGCGTCGTCGTTTATACCAGCTCGCACCGTTTTATCGTTAGTTTCTGTTCTCGAGTAGCCCCGATCGATTCGGTAGACGAAACCAGGTGTAGATTCGTGTTGAAATGTTTGCTCGAAATACTAGACGAGTATCGTTTCTTCTCGTTTCAACGTTTCAACCACGACGACGACGACAACGACGACGATGACGGACGAGGAGAAGGTTTATCTTATAACCTTCGCTCGCGAGAATATACGAATATACGCGTTCGAAATACACGAATCCACACGGATCCCGCGAATTCCTCGAGCAAAAATGTCCCGAACAGACGAGGAGCACGCTCTCCCCTCCTCCATTCATCCACCCATCCCGTCCCGTCCGTCCCGCGTTCCAAATTAGGTTCCAACGCGACTCCCGCTCTCCGCTTTTCATCTTCTTCTTCTTCTTCTTCTTCTTCTTCTTCTTCTTCTTCTTCTTCCTCCTCTTTCCTTTCTTATTCTCATTATTATATTCGTTAAACTCGCAAAACCCCCGAACGATATAGTCCCATCTCCGCTATCTCGAGGCTTTCTCGAGGATCGATCTACCGACACGCTTCAAAGCAAACAAACCGTGTAAGAAAAAAAAAAGAAAAAAATACGACGGTGGAAACCACGATAAACAAGGGAGGGAGGGAGGGAGGGATGATCGTTGTGTAAAAAAGACAGAGGCAGGAAATCTCCTCTCTCTGTCTCTTCTGTTCGCTCGATAAAGAAGGACGAAATGAAGAGATGAAGGGGAAAACGGGAGGGGAAGGAGAGCACACACTTGTTGATACACGGGGGGGGGGGGAGGGAGAGAAGGTGGAATCGCGGTGGAAAGAAGGACGAGGAGAGAAAAAGAGGGCGCGGAGGCTGCGGTGGCGGCCGAACGGGGGGGAGGGGGGGGGAGAAGAAAACCTCGAAACAATTGGAGGCGCGGAGGCGGCCGCATTTCATGTTGGCTGGCATCGGCTCCCTTTAAAGAGTCTCTTGCTTTTTGTTAGCTCTTCGAAAATTATGATTGTTTGTCCGCGAGATTTACTGCTGCCGCGGCCCTCTCAGTGCGGGTACAACGTAGCCGTGGTGCCCTCCAGGGGCAAACCCAAAGACTCTCCTCGCGGGCGAGGGAACGGGTTGGGGGATGGTTTGCGCACAGATTAGAGAGAATCGTGAACGTCGTCGCGGATCGTGCACCGACTGTCGCGCTACCGTCTCTCTCTCCCTCTCCTCCTCCTCCCCCCCTCCCCTTCCCCCTCTCTCTCCCCTCCTCTCCTTCTCCTTTCTCTCACTCTCCTTATTCTCCTTTTTCACACCGTTCGTTATTTATCACGCCTCGTTCCGCGTAATCTGCCAGCGCAAATTAGCAGTGCCGCTTAGCGTTTGAATTAGCCGGCAAAAGAGAGGGGGGAGGGGGGAGGGGCGGGGCGGGGGGAAGAGAGGAGAGAAGAAAAAAAAAGAAAAGAAAATTCCATCGAGCGCGTTTCTTCCTCTTCTTCTTCTTCTTTCTTTTTTTTTCTTTTTTGTTTTTCTTTTTTATTCTTCGTTTTATCGGATCGATTATCGTTGCGCGAAAAAATCGTTGCGAGGAAAGAGAGAAATTGGAAAGGAGAACGGAAAATGGAGATGATGGATTCGTCGACTTCTCCTCCCCCTCCCCCTCTGTCGTTAGTTTGGAATAATTAAAGTCGAGCGTAATATCCGTTAGCGCGCGTTATATTAATAGTTGGGACGGAACGATAAATCGATTTTCACGATCCATCATCAGTTTTGTTTCCACACGAAACGCGCGAAAGATGACCCAATTCGCAAACATTTCACGAATACTGCCATCGGACAGATGGATGGATGGATGGAAATATTTATTTATTTATTATCGACGATCGGAATAAAGAGGAAGAGAAGAAGAAGGAGGAGGAGGAGGAGGAGGAGGAGGAGAGCGCGTCTTAATACCGGGCCGGCCGTTCGTCGTACACGTTTCTCGCAAGGAAATGGGAAATTGTAAAACTTCCTTTCATTCTTCTTTTTTTTTTTTTTTTCTTCTTTTTTTCCCTCATTCGATTCTGAATTCAAGGTTCGACGATCACGTTCGATCGTAAACCATCGACTTGCAAGCTCGATACTCGGGGTATTCCGTTGATTTATTCGGCATCTTATTGTGCCTCCTGAACTAAACCCGGCTTGACCATCCCAAAAACCGACTTTCTATCTTTCTTCTCTCTCTCTCTC